CAAGAGGTGACGAACTGCTGCACATCTACTGCCATCCCGGGCCAGTAGTAATACTTCGCTATCCCTGCTAACGTCTTGTTGCTCCCGAAATGTCCCGCGTAAGGTACGTCGTGAAACTCCTCCAATAGGATCTGCCGTAGCGGGGCGTAATTCGGTACCCAAATCTTTCCTGAACCCTTCCTTACAGCTAAGTCTTTCTCCCACTGTAATAGCTTCTTGGTCTGTGCTGTAGCAAACTCTGCGTCCACGGAGTACCCATGTTGGAATAGACCCTTCAGCAGAGGGTTCATCCCGTCGAGCTGCATGCCTGCGACATGTCCGGGGCGGCTCAGAGCGTCTGCCTTGTTGTGTAGCCCGGGCTTGTAGACGATGTCGTAGTGGAAGTGAGTTTCCAGGAAGTCCACCCACCGCACCTGTCGTCGTGAGAGTGTCGGCTGTGACTTCAGGTATTTGAGACTGCAGTGGTCAGTATAGACTGTAGTCTTGGCTCCCTCTAGGTAACACCTCCACGCCTTGAAGGCTATGACTATCGCTAAGGCTTCCTTGTCGTGAATGGGGTAGTTTAGTTCTGCTCCGTGTAGCTTCTTACTGAGGTAGGCGATGGGCTGCAAACCGCGTTCGTGATGCTGCATCAGTACTGCTCCGAATGCTTGGTCACTAGCGTCTGCTTCCACCACGTAGTCTCTGTCTGGATCCGGTAGGATGAGTACTGGCGCTGTAGTCAGTGCTGTCTCTTTGTTCAGTGCGCGGTAGTCGATGCACATCCGTAAACTACCGTCTGGCTTTGGAGTGAAGAGAACTGGTGCACCGTAGGGAGAGGTGGATGGGTGGATCAGTTGTCTGTCTAGTAGATACTCTATCTGTTTTTCATGTCTGTCAGTTCAGTTGGACTCAGTCGGTATGGTGCACGTGAGACGGGTTTCGCACCTGGTTCCTCCACGATCTCGTGCTCGTGGGTGCATGCTGGAGATACGCCTGTGGGTAGGTCGTCGGGCATTATATCCTTGTACTGCTCCAAGACCTCCTCCTCTGCTGCTGCTATAACCAGTGCTAAGTAACCCGTGTTACTCTCGTTCACTGTCCGTTCGAACCGTGCCAGTGTCGTTTCAGGAACGCTCCCTGTATCCGTCAAGCTTCGCAGCTCCACTCGTTTCCCGTTGTTGTAGATGCACACCTTGCTGTTGACCCAATCGATCTCGGGGTTGAACTGCTTCAGAAAATCTCGCCCCAAGATAAAATCTAATCCCTTGATGTTTGTGATCGGCAACGTCGGCTTCCACCTCAAAGCCCCTATCTGCAGCTGCAGTGTTGACTTTCCGTGGATGGGAAGCTTCGTACCGTCCACCATCGTTGCTGTAAACTGGGTTTCTTCTTAGGATTATCCAATTTTCTCCAACGTCCCGCGGTCGCACACCGAGTGGGACGCACCACTGTCCACCAGGGTCTGGAGGCGACGCCCGTTGCAGATCACCTCGAGTACTAGTGGTTGCTGCTGCTCCGAGTATCCGTAGATGGTATCGCTTATAGGATCGTAGGGTACGTCGAATATGTTATCCCTGGGTCCTGCACTCAAAGATGCAGCTTCAGTATCAGTTTTCTACTGAGAAAGGTTAGAAGGATTTATCCGAGGCCGATTCGGCTTCTCTTGGGCCTGGAACCTTCCACTAAGCCTTTGCAGCTGTGTAGGCTTCATCTGTGGGGAACAGGGAGCCTTTAAACAGTGCTGCTGGGAGAGAATATTAACTCCTCGGAACGCTCGACCCGTATTAGCGCTCTGAAGTTGGGTCCCCATAATACCCGGTACCGGTTTAATTTCTGACTCTCCCTTAATAAAGGCTTGAAACCCACGAGAAGTAATATTCTTACTTGTCGGGGTATACGGCTGGAGTTTCCCGGTCGGTGCAGGGTCTTGTTTCGCGGATCCTCCATTAGTCTCGGCGATTTCCCCTGGTGCCGGCTGGTCGTGACGTTTTAAATTTGCGCCACCATATTCTCCTTTTTTCGCCCTCTCCGAAGTTGCCACGTTGTCCGTTTTCTGCTTCGGGGGTGCCGCACTGTTCTTGTCCTTCAGCTCCGCACACCTTCTCTTCATTTTCCAACACGCCAAGATACGATGTCCTGTAGCGCCGCAAAATTTGCACGTCTCATTATTTGCTAGCCGCTGCTCCACATCGCCCTCGTCGTTCTCCATCGGGTCGGCAGTCGTGGGTGGTGCCAATCGCCCCATGCCACTAGTTGGCTTGTTGCGTCGTGTTCCGTAGTAGCTACTGTTCAACGTGTCAAACTGTTCGATCAGTGCTGCCGGAACCTGCGCCCACGTCCCCTCGCCTTGGACTATTCTGTTGTTGATCCACTCTAGAGCTGGGCCTCGTAACAGTGTTGCTGCGAGCCGTATGCGCATTGCGTCTTTTGTCGGGGTCGTGCATCTAACGGCTTCGAAGTAAATTTCGAGTTCAGCTACAAATCGACGAACGTCGTTCCTTTTTACTGTAGGATCGAACGCCTCCGGTAGCCTCAGCTTCACTGCTTCGAGGTTAACTGTAGCTGCTGCCGTTGTCGCATGTAGAATTGTCGGTGTTGCCGCTGCTGTTGCTGCTACTGTTGTCGCTGCTGCTGTGGCGGTTGCCGACTGGTTCGCAATGAGTTTTTCAAGTTGTGGGAGCGCTGCACATATTTGCTTATGCTCAGCACGTAACTCCGCGATTTTCTGTACTAAAATATCTCTTTTTTCCCTCCATTTGGCGATTTACAGGAAGATGCGCGACGAAAATAATTGAATTCAAGGGGCTGGTCGACTTACTGCGAGTCAAATTGACTGTAGAATCGACGAGCGCGAATTCTGTAGGTTGCGTAAATCTCCCTTAGGCGAAATTCGCGTCCGATCTTGGCCGTTGAGGAGAAAATCGATCCGACGCACCAAATTCCAACTTTTTTGGGCGAAATTCTCTGGGCCGTTGAGATGAAACTCGATCGAACGGTCGAAACTCCAACCTTTCCACCAGTAAATCTGAGGGGTGTTCGAAAACCGAATCGAGGGGGACTTAGAAAAATTGCGCAGAACTGGTTTTACATACCCGTATCGGCGCTTTCGTCGTCGCCCCCGCGGTTTTTAAAGGCCGGAACTAAGCGGTTGAAGACCTCGCGTGTAAACCCGCTCTGATTACCAAGTGTGAGGATCTGGGATCGAGCTCAGAAAAGATGATTCAAATTGAATTGAATGATCACCTGGGTACTGTCGAAATATTTTGTCATGTTTTATAATTGCTTGTAGTTGTAGTTAGTGTAGTTATGTAAACTTTTGTTGGTGGTGCACCTTATTTTGTTTCTATGCTATATGTACCCCTGAACCTATAGTGAAACCACCTTTTCACCAATTTCCCTCTCAACTCACTCGACATTGCTCCTAGGGGAAAACCCGCTCGATACCTAAGTTAGGGCCTAGGCTACTAAGCCTAGGCCCCCGTTTCTACTCTTAAATTACTTAGACTCTCGACATGTTATCGGAGCTAGGTTCGTCCTGGCCTGTGGGCCCACTTTACACTTCCGCTGCTAAGGTTTTCCGGTCGCGCGCCTAGGGCGCGTGACGACTTTATTTTTACATTGTCCCGCCCACGGGCGTGTGACTCCTTCCCTGCCCGTCGCGCGCCCCGTGGTACGCGACGGTGCCCTTCTACTGCCCATCGTGCGCCCCGTGGCACACGATGGTGCCCTGCTCGTCGTGTGCCCCGAGGCACACGATCGGGCCCTTTTATGCTACCCGTCGTGCGCCCCGTGGCACTGGCCCGCGACGGGCCTTTCCGCCCCTGCACTCCCTGCTGCCGCCCCTGACCCATCTGCACCGACGCCTCTTCGCCGCTCTGCGGCTTTCTTCCTTCCCACCCCCCCCCTTTCTCTTGTCTCCCTGCAGCCGTGGGGAGGAGGGTATGGGGGTGGAGGGTGTTGGAGCGTGGGGTCAACTCTCTCCCTTTCCCTCCTCCTTCTTTCAGTCCCACCGCTGCAGCTGCCGCTGGGGGAGGAGGGTGTGAGGATGTGGGTGAGGAGGGGGAGTGGTACCGGGGTGGCGGGTGTGAGGCAACAAGCAGCCGTCCCTCCACCTCTCCTCTCTTCCCCCTTTCTCTGCTGCTTCTGCAGCAGTGTGGGGGAGGGGAAGGAGGAGGGTGAGGAGATGGTAGGGATACCTGCTGTTGCTGTAACTACATACCTACCTACAAGCATTATGGGGGCGTGTCGAAATATTTTGTCATGTTTTATAATTGCTTGTAGTTGTAGTTAGTGTAGTTATGTAAACTTTTGTTGGTGGTGCACCTTATTTTGTTTCTATGCTATATGTACCCCTGAACCTATAGTGAAACCACCTTTTCACCAATTTCCCTCTCAACTCACTCGACATTGCTCCTAGGGGAAAACCCGCTCGATACCTAAGTTAGGGCCTAGGCTACTAAGCCTAGGCCCCCGTTTCTACTCTTAAATTACTTAGACTCTCGACAGGTACAACACGAGGCTATATATAGGCTCGACACAAGGCCCCGTAACCAGGTGTTACGCGAAGGTTCCGCGGGTCGCGAAGCGTCCCGAACAGATCCTTACCGAATTCGGTAGAAGGCAATTCGGTGGCAACCGAAAAGCCAGAATTCGGTGCACGCAACCTAGCTCGGTGCTATAACTATAATAAAATATAGGAAAGCACCTAGCCTAGGAAATCAAGCAATTCATGCATGCATATGATTATCCTATGCTAGAAATAGCATGATAAAGTAGAGGCAGGCAAGCATAGCTGGCATAAGCCGTCGTACTCTCACACCCAGACTCAGCACCCCCAGGCTCAGCACCTCCAGTCACAGCACCCCAAGACTCAGCACCCCCAGACCCGGCACCCGCAGACGCGGCACCCGCAGGCTCAGCACCTCTAGCAGCACCAGAGTCTACAGCTACCTCGACAGGCTCGACTGCGTCTACCTGGGACACACCTGAAGGGGCAGGACCCTGAGGAGGGAGGGGGTCTACCTGAGTAGCACCTGGCGCAAGGAAGAGCGGCGGCGGGGGGAGGGGCGCAGTGCGGTAGGGGAAGAGACGGTAGTAAGGCACCGACTCGTCAAAGGTGACGTCCTGGGAGGACAGAACACATGGCGCGTGGTGGGGTGGTAAAACTGCCAGCCAGGCGCGTCAGGGGGGAAGCCAAGGAAGACGCAAGGAACAGCACGGGGGGACAGCTTGTCCGCAGACAAGTCGCGGACAAACGCCCGAGATCCCCAGACCCGAAACCCAGACGCATCGCCAACCTTCCCTGTCCACCGCAAGGCGGGGGAGGTCTCTGGCAAGGAGACTCGGGGCTGAAGGTTGAGCTGATGCGCGGCGTACTGAACCGGAAACGGCAACAGATAATGGGGGGCAGCCGCATGCATCATGGACGCACGCGCGACGTCCATGACCATGCCAATGCGGCGCTCAGCAATCCCATTTTGCTGTGGAGAGGCCGGAAGCGTGAAGGTCTGGCGGATGCCGTGTGCCCGACAGAAGGCTCCCAGACGGGCAGAGGAAAACTCCCCTCCTCTGTCCGAGTGCAGACGCAAAACAGGAAAGTCCGAGCCGAAACTCTCTCTGAGCTGGAGACGAGCTGCGCGGATCCAGCCGATCAACACCTCAGTGACGTCACCCTTGCTGTGCAAGGGGAAGACTATGGTGTAACGCGAGTAGTCGTCAACGACCAGCAGAAAGTACCGCTCTCTTCCCTGCCCACTGACGCGGGCTGGGCCCCACACGTCCATGTGTAGAGTCTGCAGCGGAGCCTCTGTCGGAGGAAACTCGGAGGAGTGAGGGTCGGCGCGCTGTCGCCCCTCGACGCAGGGGACGCAGGTAGGGCCAGGCCCCGGAGGAAGGGGAGCGAGAGACCAAGGAAGACCAGAGACAAGGACACGGGAGGCCATGCCTCGGAGACGAGGCAAGGAGGGGTGACCAAGGCGGTGGTGCCAAAGGAGAGTCTGGTGGGACAGCAAACGACACGAGCAGGGGGCAGACTCAGGACCAGACCTGGACGCCGCAGCAAACACCTGACTCGACGCAGCTACCTCGGCAGACTCAGCAGTAGGAGGAGACTCAGCAGTAAGGGTGTACAGGCTAGACCCTGGCCGACGGGTGAACGTGGCCAAGTGTCGGCCTGTCCGAGCACACCTGCAGTGGGTCACTCGCTGACTCGCAGGAGTGAACTGGTCAACCCCTCGATCCTGTAGGTCCGCTCCACTCACCAAGCTCGTAGAGAACGAGGGGAGGTAGAGACCAGACAGGGAGCCTGAGGGGGCTGCAGGGCACGGAAGGACAGTGGAGAAGCTAGCAAGGACAGGACCCGCAGAGGGGTCTGCCAGGGAGACTGCAACCGGCCGACTAAGCGGCGTAAGAGTGGTGCGGTCTCGAAAGAAGGAGCGGGACGCACCCGAGTCCAGGGTGAAGGTGTGGAAGGCCTGAGCCGACGTAGTACCTGAGAGAGCAGACTCACCAGCACCTGGGGCGGCAGACGCAGTGGCACCTGGGGCAGCAGACGCACTAGCACCTAGAGCAGTAGTCTCACCAGCACCTAGCGCAGCAGCCTCAATGCCCGGGTCAGGCGGTACACACAGGTTACGGGCACCCTCAACACTATCAGCAACAGCATACATGGCAGCAAGAATAGCATCAAAGTCAAGATCAAAGATAGCAACCCTGGCCTTAGCCAGATCTCCCAAGCGAGGGATCTCTGACGCCTCAGGGAACTGGCGACGCCACGCGTCCGTCAGGCGACCAAAGCAGCGCTGGGTGGAGTGTGGACCCCCGCACTGCTCACCAGTGCAGTCGCCGGTACAGGGAACGTAAGAGCAGGGACCAAAACCCCCACCGCGCTGGCGTGCAGTGTACCACTCACGAAGCTGCTGAGGGGACAGGGTCACACCACTCCGCTGCTGCTGCTGGCGCTGACCACCACCGGCGCCACTCCTCGACGCAGAGTCGCGACTCGCTCCACCACCGCCGCCTCCGCCGCCGCCGCCGCCTCCGCCGCCGCCGCCGCCTCCGCCGCCTCCGCCGCCTCCTCCACCTCCGCCTCCTCCACTACCTCCGCCGCCTCCGCTCCCTCCGCCACCTCCACCGCCTCCGCCGCCTCCACTGCTGCCGCTGCCGCCGCCGCCACCCCCAGCACCACTCCCACCACCACCCCCACTCCCTCCACCGCCTCCACCACCACCTCCACCGCCCCCTCCACCTCCTCTAGTGCCCTTGCCCCCCTTGCCCTTGCCGGTGCGGCGTCTCCCGCTCGGGGCAGACGCAGCGCCGACCGACTCGAAACCAACGAGGTCGGCCACAGCAGCAGAGGCAACAGAGGGCAAGAGGGGGGAGGGAGAACACCCATCAAAGACGGGGGTGCGAGGGTCACCACGAGAGGCTCCTACAGCGACTATGCTCTTCTCTATCGCTAGGAGGGCCTTCTCGAGGAGGTCAACGGTGAGAGTGGTGGGGCAAACAGAGAGGAAGTGGTCCTTGACTAAATGGAGAGAGTCAGGGAGACGGGTGACTATGTAGTAGAGGGTGATGTACATGGGGGGGGGGGGTTCTTGGCGGAGGTACGGTAGAGAGTGTCACTAGTGCGGAGGTGCGTAATGAGGTCAGCAACAGTGGGAAAGGCAGCAAGGTCAGGGAAGAGGTACGGTAGCATGAGGCGGCTCAGTGCAGCAGTGGCAGGGGAAGAGTAGCGTGCAACTACAGCGTCGTACAAGGTCTGAGCACTCTTGTACTGGCTAAAGTGTGCACGCTCAGTGGTCGGTCAGTGGCGGCGCACAGCAAGGCGAGCAGCAGCGTCACGTGTGGCCCACTGTGAGCGAATAGTGGCGTCAGCATCAGCAGCGGGGGCAGGGGAGGCACCAGAAGTGAGGTCAAACAGGGAGAGGCCGTCTGCCCTATCGCGCTGCAGGAAAAGCTGCAGATCATCTACCCAGACCTCAAAGTCCACTGCCCGACCCTCAGCGTCAAAGGTGAGAACGCTAGGGGAAGCCATAACAGCCGGAGGCAGGGCAGTGCAGTGGCAGAGACTGTGCTCTTACCAGGTAGGTGGAGCGATCGGGCTGCTCGGCGGCTCGGCTGTCGGGCGACTCAGCTGCAGGGCGGCTCGTCTGCTGGGCGGCTCGGCTGCTGGGCGGCTCTGCTGCTGGTGCGGGGCGGCTCGGCTGTCGGGCGGCTCGGCTGCTGGGCGGCTCGGCTGCTGGGCGGCTCGGCTGCACGGTGCTGGGCGGCTCGGCTGTTGGGCGGCTCGGCTGCTGGGCGGCTCGGGAGGTCGGGCGGCTCAGGAGGCCGGCGGTTCGGCTGCTCGGCGTTGCGGGCGCTGGGAGGCGGGGTCGCAGGTGGTGGCGAGGTCGCAGGTGGCGGTGGGCCGCAATGGTGGGCGGGGCCGCGGTGGCGACGGGGCCGAAGTGGGGCCTAAGTGGGGCCGTAGAGGGGCCGACGGGGCCGAAGTGGGGCCGTAGCGGGGCCGCAGCGGGGCCTAAGCGGGGCCGAAGCGGGGCCGTAGCGGGGCCTAAGCGGGGGCCGTAGCGGGGCCGTAGCGGGGCCGTAGCGGGGCCGACAGGGCCGTACGGGGCTGTAGCGGGGCCTAAGCGGGGCCGACGGGGCCGTAGCGGGGCCGTAGCGGGGCCGTAGCGGGGCCTAAGCGGGGCCGACGGGGCCGTAGCGGGGCCGTAGCGGGGCCGTAGCGGGGCCTAAGCGGGGCCGTAGCGGGGCCGACGGGGCCTAAGCGGGGCCGTAGCGGGGCCGTAGCGGGGCCTAAGCGGGGCCGACGGGGCCGTAGCGGGGCCGTAGCGGGGCCTAAGCGGGGCCGACGGGGCCGTAGCGGGGCCGTAGCGGTGCCTAAGCGGGGCCGTAGCGGGGCCGACGGGGCCTAAGCGGGGCCGTAGCGGCCTAAGTGAGGCCGTAGAAGGCGGCTCGAGGGGCAGTAAGGGCGGCCAATAGGGGCCACTAAGGCGGCTCGAGGTGCTACTCGGGTTAGGAGCCAAGCGCTCTCCGGGCAGGGAAGGAAAAAAAGTTCGTGGTGGGCCCTAGGCAGTATTCCCAGTCGGGAACCTGCTCGATACCATGACAAGAAGTGAGAATGGAATGAATGAACTATGAAACAGTTGGGTACAAGTTCTAACCCTAATTGGGTTGTACCCCTTATGGGCTACCCCACTACAGCCTACACAAATGTATAAGCTATAATGTTCTGACACCTGACACGCTATGTTGCGCTCGGGAGACACCGACCAGAGCACTGGAAGGCAGCTAAGAGGGTGATGCGCTATTTGTGCAGTACGTCGGGCATGGGGCTCGTGCTTTGAGGACGGGGTCCAGTTGTCTTTAGTGGTCGCGCAGACGCTTCTTCGGTTGACGACTTTGCTACGCAGCGGTCGTCACAGGGATACACCTTCAACCTTGGCTCCGGTTCTATTTCGTGGCGGTCTACCCGCTTGTCTTTTGTTCTCAGCTCCAGATGCGAGACTGAGATCTACGCAGGGGCCATGGCTGCACAGGAGCTACGCTGGCTCACCTACCTGCTGACTTACCTGGGAGAGGCACCTCGTTCTTCTCCAGTTTTATACTTCGACAACAAGGCAATGCTTGCCTTGTGTCGCGAGCAGAGACTGGAGCACAGAACGAAGCACATTGCTCTTCGCTACTTCCTTCCTTGAGAGATGCAGCAGCGTGGTCAGCTTCATCTTGTTTACGTGGCCTCTCAGGCCAACACTGCTGATGTCTTCACCATGGCACTTCAGCCTTGTGATCATCAACGGTTCTGTGCTGTTCTAGGCCTTGTGCCTACTTGGCCTCACTTGCTCACTTCCTGACTTTGCTTGTACTGTGATCTATATATTTATACCTGCATGCTTACACTTGCTAGGATGTGATCATTGTCCTACTTGTTCTTCTATATACACATAACTCTGCATGTGAACTGGCCTTGTGGCCATTTGCTGGTGCTCAAAATGTGTGGTGGCGTTGTGATCCACCCTGGGCTTGACCTTGCTTAGTTCTCTTGCTTGTCCCCCACTTTGCCTATAAGGGTGTGTCAGAACTATGCTGTAGGCTGTAGTGGGGCACTCCTTATGGGGCAGAGCCCAATTAGTTTTTCATATACAAACCCCGTACTACTGTGTTTCTAGTCATTCTTGGTTCCTAGATTCTGACAACGCGCATTGCCATAAAAGGCACCGCGCATATAACCGACCAATTAAGCGCGGTCATTAAAGGTCTCGTGCATTGACGCCTAGGCATTGCAGTTATTCACGGAAATATATGATCGGGCATTAATATAAAATGCGCCCGACCATAAATTGCCACGCATGATTGGTCAATTATATGCACGTCCAATCAGGCGCGATCATATAGGGTCACGCTGTTACAAAGTAAGGAATGAGAATGACTAGAATGAGAACAGTAGAATGTTTGTATAGGCAAAACCTAACAGGGCTCTACCCCATAAGGAGTGCCCCACTTACAGCCTACAATATAGTTCTGACACACCCTCGTAGGCAAAGTGGGGGACAAACAAGAGAACAAATCAAGGTCAAGCTCAAGGTGGATCACAACGTCACCACGCATTCTGAGCACAAGCAAAAGGCCACAAGGCCAGTTCACATGCAGAGTTATATATCAAGGTGAAAAAGCAGTACAGTGATCTCAACCTCACAAGTGTAAGCATGCAGGTGCAGGAATATATAGATCACAGTACAAGCAAAGTCAAGAGGTAAGCAAGTGATGCCAGGTAGGCACAAGACCTAGCATAATACAAAAACGCGGATGATCACAAGGCTGAAGTGCCTTGGTAAAGATATCAGCACTGTTGGCCCGAGTGGCCACGTAAGCAAGACAAAGCTAACCACGCTGCTGCAACTCTCGAGCAAGGAAGTAGCGTAGAGCAATGTGCTTCGTTCTGTGCTCTAGTCTGTGCTCCTGGACACAAAGCAATCATGGCCTTGTTGTCGACGTACAGAACTGGAGGAGAACGAGGCGCCTCTCCCAAGTCGGTCAGCAGGTAGGTGAGCCAGCGTAACTCCTGTGCAGCCATGGTCCCTGCGTAGATCTCAGCCTCACAACTGGAGCTGAGAACAAAAGATGAGCGGGTAGACCGCCATGAAACAGAGCCGGAACAAAGGCTGAAAGTGTAACCCTGTGACAATCCCTGCATAGCCAAGTCGTCAACCCAAGAAGCATCTGCATGACCAGTGAGGATAACTCGAGCCCGTCCTCCAAGCACGAGCCCCATGCCCGACGTACTGCACAAGTAGCGCAACACCCTCTTAGCAGCATCCATGTGCTCTGGTAGGTGTCTCCCAGGAGCAACATAGCGTGCTAGGATGCTAAGAGGGTAAGCAAGGTCAGGTCGAGTGCAGGTCATCAGGTACATGAGGCAACCCACAAGCTCTGGGAACGGGCCACTCGGCTCTACGGACTCATCCGAAGGCAGAGCTGAGAGCGAGTCGCGAGTAGACAAAGGAGTGGACTGTGGCGAGGAGTTCGTGAAGCTGAAGCTCCGAAGGACCTGCTGCACCATGTGTGACTGAGTCAAGGTAATGGTGCGCCGTGCTCTGTCCCGGGTGATCTGCAAGCCAATATAGCTGCGCAGCTCACCCAAGTCTATGAACGTGTGTCTCTTCTACAGCTCCAAGTATACTTGGGCCAGTCCAGCAGTGCCAGCAGTAGCAAAGACCAAGTTGTTGACGTACACGAGGATGCAGAATGGCGGCAGAGTAGTGTCGGTGCGAAGAAACAGCGACGGGTCAGCAGTGGAAGGAGCAAACCCAAGAGCCGCAAGCGTAGTCCTCATTGTGTCGTGCCACTCATGAGGAGCCTGGCGGAGACCGTAGACTGGCCACCGGAGGCTCCACTGGGTGCCAGGAGGAAACGACCAAGAGAAGCCAGGTGGGCGGCGCAGCCAGATCTCCTTGTGCAGGCTGCCCTGTAGGAAAGCTGTGCTGAAGTCAAGAGAGTGAAGCTCGTAGTCACGTTGAGCGAAAACGTGCAACAGCACCAGAAGAGTGGTCATCTTTGGGGTAGGGGAGAAGGTCTGAACGTAGTCAACTCCTTGTCGATGACTGAAACCTCGAGCAACATAACACACCTTGAAGACAGGCGGAGAACTCGTAGGCCGCTTCACCCTGAAAATCCACATGCCATCGATTATGTTCGCCCCGGGTGGGGGAACCTCGTCAACATAAGTGCCTGTGGACTTCTAGGAAGCCATCTCTACGCCCATGGTTGTCTGCCACTGAGAAGAGTAGGGACCCTCTATCGCCTCTACGTAAGAGCGCGGGGTCGGGATGTCTGGTGCGTCCGGGTCTCCCTCAGGGGCAATCATCATGGACACGAGATGAGGTAAAGCAGCGGCAAAACACTGGAACTCCTCCTGCCTGTCCTCAAGGACGTCCGTGCTAACAGCACACTCACCCCCGACGGACGGAAGACAGACAGACTCGGACTCAGCAACAAGACCAGCGGCGTAGTCTAGACGACAGTGAGTAGCAAAGTCGACAAGCTGAGCAACAAGTAGACAGTGGTTGCGAACGGCTAGGCGAGCAGCATCGTTACGGGTAAGCCACTGTGACCGAGTCGCACTGTCAGCTGTGGCGTTAGGGGTGGGCGAGGTGCCAGAAGTGAGGTGAAATAGCGAAGTACCGTCCTTAGAGTCTGTCAGCAGGAACAGCTGTAAGTCGTCTAGCCACGCATTGAACTCTATCGGGCGGCCCTCCGAATCGAAGGTGAGAATGTTGAGAGTGGCCATAGCGGGCAGAGCAGTCGGGCGCGCTAGCAGCAGAGCAGCATGCTAGCAGCAGTGCACCAGTGAGCGCGCTAGCAGCAGTGCAGCAGTGAGCGGCGCGTGGTAAGGCAGGGTGTGCACGGCAGGACAGGGCGCGCGGCAGAGCAGGGCGCGTAGCGGCGCGGCGCGCGAGAAGGGCAGGGCGCGCGGCGCAGGGGCGCGGGCAGGGCAGGGCGCGCAGTGGCGCGGCGCGCAGACAGGGCAGGGTGCGC